CAGATTACGCGTAATCCGGACATGAGCAAGTGCTGCAGCGGCCCCTTCAGAGCCTCTGCTAACCCCCTCTTGCAATACAAGATGTTTCTCTACAGAGAAGAAACGTCAAAGATAGACCACTGGCACAACACATCTCACTACTCCAACCCCACACCTTCCTGCTACACTGCACCACCTCAACTCTCAAACATAAAACATGAAATCCATAAAATGCTGCAGCGGCCCCTTCAGAGCCTCTGCTAACCCCCTCTTGCAATACAAGATGTTTCTCTACAGAGAAGAAACATCAAAGATAGACCACTGGCACAACACATCTCACTACTCCAACCCCACACCTTCATGCTACACTGCACCACCTCAACTCTCAAACATGAAACATGAAATCCATAAAATTGGTCATAAATTATAATCATGAGCCTAACAAAAATTGGTATGGGTTCCTGTCAACAAGCTGGGGTCAGCTCTCTGAAAGAGACTCCCCCCAGCAATCCAGTAAACCCAGTTTTTCAGGAGTGACTCCTCCCAATAAAAATTATTATGCACCAGCTTTCTGGGAGCATCCCATCAAACCCAGCTTATTTTGGGAGGGATTGCCCCCCCCCCAAAAAAAAACTGGAATATGAAACAGCTTGCTGGTGGATACTCAAACCAAAGCAAATGTGGAGGAAAACAATCAATATAATCCAGCTTTCCAGGAGCAACTCCTCCTGGGATTTCAGTATTGGGAGAGGATCCTCCTGTAAAACAGGCTTATTTAACAGCTCACCAGGAGGGGCTCCTCCTGGCAGGCTGGTATTAAATCCATCTTGTGCTTGAAAGTATAGTCCTTCCCAAAAAACTGAATTTTTAACCAGCTTTTTAATCCTCCTGGAAAGCTGGGATTTATACTTTCTTATTGGGGGAGAATCCCTGCAACAAGCAGTTTTTGATACAGTTTTTCAGGGGGAGCTCCTGTAATGTTGGCATTAAACACAGCTTGTTGGAAGGAGCTTCTCAAACATTGGGAGTAAACCCAGCTCATTGGGATGAGTTCTTGATTAGTTGGTATTAAACCCAGATGAAATCCAGTTTGTTCGGAGGAACACCTCCTAATTTGGTGTAGGCAGCCTAAACCTCATCAGGAGGGGTTCCTTGCAATGAGCTGGGTTGAATAACAGATTACCAAGAAGGAAACCTATGAACAAGCTGCTATCTGACACAGTTTTTTTGGGAGGGAATTCTCCCAACAAGATGCATTAAGTAATGGTTTTTCAGGAGGGATTCCCACCAACAATTTGATTTTAAATTCAGATCGTAAGGAGGAGTCCATATTCCCTCCCAGATGGCTAGTGTCAGAACCATCTTGTTGAGATCAATTCCTTCCAATTCAGGGAAGGCTCATGTTTGATTAAGGGGGCATGATAACCCCCTTGCGCACGCCAGGTGCGGATTGGTGTGTGCACCTTCACGCCAAAGCAAATTGGCGTGCGGGCCTGCACACCAATCTACAGAGTGTAGACCGGCGTGCAGGCCTGCACAGTGCACGTCAAAGATTCCTAATTGCATATGTACACATATCCATTTAGGACCACTGCCATCCCAGATGACCCAGGCATGGGTCCTATAGGACGGCGGCGGAGAATCCTGAGAAAAAAGAAAACAAAAACAAGGCTGGGAGGGGGTTCCTCCCAGCCTTAGGCCATAAGCTCATAGGTTCATGTCAGGAGGGTTTCCTCCCAACAACATGGCTTTGAATACAGCGCATTGGGAGGAAACCCTCCCAATGAGCTGGGCTTGAGACCAGCTCATCAGGATTAAAACCTCCCAATGAGCTGGACTGTGTAGCATCTCATTGGGAGGAAACCCTCGCAATGAGCTGGTTTCAAATCCAGCCCATTTGGGGGAAACCCTCCCAATGAACTGGGCTTAAGACCAGCTCATCAGGAGGAAACCCTCCCGGTGAACTGGGCTTAAGACCAGCTCATCGGGAGGAAAAACTATTGATGAGCTGGTCTTGAGCCCAGTTCATCAAGAGGGTTTCCTCCCAATGAGCTGGACTGTGTACCAGCTCATTGGGAGGAAAACCTCTCAATGAGCTGGTCTTAAGCACCAGTTCATAGGGAGGGTTTCCTCCCAATGAGCTGGATTTGATACCAGCTCATTGGGAGGGTTTTCTCCCAATGAGCTGCTATGAGTTTATAGTCTTCAGGCTTTGAGGAAACCCCTCCCAGCCTTGTTTTTTCCCTTTTTTCTCATGATTCTCTGCCGCCGTCCCATAGGACCCATGAAAAAATCATCCTCTTGTGAATTTGATTTAGAAATTTTGTTGTCTCATGAGTGAGTTTTTTAAAGCTCATCTTATTGATTGTATTGTGTTTATATGAAGAAATTACAGTTTTTTTTTGAATTTTATTAAAACTTGGGTAATTTTGAGGCTGTTTTTATTGTACTAGGGGAAATGAATTCCAGAATCTATCTGAGAAAGTATTAGATTTAGAACTGGAAATGATAAGTTTGATGAAATTGACTGGCGTGAGAGGATCTAAATCTACAAAGAGTATCCTGATCTGATCAAGAGACTTTCAAACTTTTATGCTGGGGCTGCAGAAAAAATCATTCTGTGCTGATTCTATTTACTATTTCTGTAAATTAGAAGTGAAATAAAAAACTCATCACATGAGGAAACTCTAGTGACTTTGATAGTATTTTATTTTGAATTTTGTCTGAATGTTGAGTGAAAGATATGAGAAAATCAGTTCCCAATACTGTGAAAAATATGGGAATTTCAGGTTCGTTACCAAAGTGATTTTTTGCGATTTTTGTTTGATTTTATGGTGACATGCAGTCACTGGGCAACCAGTGCCCTGAAATTTCCCCTGGTGTCAATAGCTATCTCTTTTTCATCAAAAAACTAGATTCTCCAAACTGCGATTTCTGCGATACACCTGAAGACGTCAAACATTTCATGATTTATTGTCCTAAGTTTAATTCACAAAGAAAATTTTTCAGACAATCGCTCACATCACATAAAATCAAAGTCAACGTCAACTGCATCAAAAGTCTCCTTGATTCGCCGAAATGCTTCAAACTCCTCTCCAACTTCATTCTCAACACTCATAGATTCAAAAATATCAAACAATATCTAGAAAAAGAAGAAAAAAAAAAAACACCTTTTCTTTTCCATACTATCACTTTCTTTGGTCAAAAGTCATCATTTTCTTTGATTAAAAGTCATCACTTTCTCTGATTAACAGCTATCACTTTCTTTGGTTAAAAATTTATCAAAAAAAAAATCAATCGGAAGGGCTATTAGGCTGGATACAAGAGTTGGTCGAATGGATTCGGCTTTTTCTCGCTCAATCATCTAGGGCTTGTGGTTTGGGTCACCACAAGATACTCTGCCTAGTCAACAGAGTATGGAAAGCCGGATTCGTTTGGCCTTCCCTATTTTCAGACCCAATAAAAAGAGTCGGATTTCCTTTTTCTCATTTTCTCTTCTCAATTTCTTTCGTTTCCTTTTCTTTAATCATCATTTCGCCAGTCAAAATAACTTAGCATTCAATCTAGAAGAATAAAAAACTGTTATTATTATAAAATCTTTAATAGTTTTCTCTCACACAAAGTTCAAAAAACGTCATCGCATGTATTTCTCTCAGTGAGCAATGTGAAATCAATTAGCACTTAAAAAAAAAAAAAAAAAAAAAAAAAAAAAAAAAAGGATGGCCTCCCAAGGTGAAAATCTGCTAAGTCCCTGTTTTCCTCCCTCTGCATCATATCACCTGGGCGCATTGCTCATCCCCCTCCTGCTTGCCTCCTCAACAACTCGGCCTTCGGTTTTCCCTCCCCTCTCATACGACTCATTGATTGATCATATGCCTCAGACCTGACCAAGCGCTTACCAACCCTCAAGCAACTCGCAGGCCCCGACTACACTTTCCCCAGCCTTCAATTTCATCGTCTCACCTGAGCTCATTGCTCATCCTCCTCCTGCCTTCCTCAACAACTGTTCCTTTGGTTCTCCCTCCTGCATTGATCGATCATATGCGTCAGACGTCACCAGCAGCATTTACCAACCCGAGTGACTCTCAAGGCTTTTAGTCTCCATTTGCTTGGCTGCCTTCTGCTTGACTGACCTCACCTTCTGCCCTTTCTGCAACCAGTTCGTCACACATAACATAGCAAGGCATTGCTACCGATCTTATTGAACCAACCAGTCCTTATCAAGGCCGCCACTATTATTGATGCCATCAGCAACCAGGTCTTGTTCTTGTCCGATTCAAAAACAAGGCCACCCTCAGTCTAGCAGCTGGATCACCCGGTCACCTTCCTCCTTTTCTAGAATTACACCTTGACTCTTTTTGCTCTCTTTTCACTCTGCTCACTTACTTTTCATTTAACCTTGCTGTACAGCTACGGTAAGTGTTACTCCTTTCTCACACCAAACTGAGATCCTGGACCAATACCAACTTCTTATTACCATACTAACTAACCTCTCATCACTACAGCTCAGAACCCCCTTGTCTGGAGGGGCCATAAGGGATGAACAAGAACATCTCCGGTGATTATAATCTAAATGCTGGCCTTGAAAGTCAAAGGGGCGAGGCAAAGTATATCCAGCTTGATAAACTATTCATGGATCCCACCTTCATCATTGAGGTTAGTCTCCACTCATACCTATCCAGTGTTAACCAGCTGCTCATCCATCACTCATACTCATGGAAACTCCTTCACCAACAGAAAGCCCTGTTTGTTGAAGTCACATTGTCTGAGAAATGGGGAACAACTTGTGAGTAATCGGGTTAGATTAAGTACAGGAGCAGAAACTGACAGATCATGATGCATTCTACATGGTTGGGATATTGATTGTGTGAGTGTGTGTGATTTGATCTGTAGTTCCGCCGTTACCACTCATCCGATCCGATCTTCTTCCCACCACCACCTCCTCTCCCTCATCATCCCTCAAAGCCCCCCAGACCCAGCATACCCATCCCCGCAGAAACAGTCCGGCATCCTCCAGTTCTGGCTTAGGGTCCCGGTTGGGATCTTGATCCGCCGGGTCGTCGAATTTCCCTGTCACCCGCGTGACTTGTTGGCTCCTCATCCTTCCCTCTCTCATCTTCCTTCCTTTTTATCTTCTCCTTCCTCTTCTTCTGTTCACAATAATCATCTTAGTCTTAATCTCCAGTCCTTGAGCTCTCTTGTCCCCCCCCCCCCCCAATAATAATAATGATCATCAGCAGCAGCAGCAACAAGTTGGGTTAGGGTCTCGATCTGGATCGGCGATCAATGAATCTGAATCTCCTACTAATCCTATTACTAAGGTCACTCTTCCAGGTAGTCTTACAAAGGTTCGTCCTCTTTCTCTTTTGTTCTTGTGAGTTTTGGGTGTTGGTGGTTAACAATAGTTGGGGACGGGGTTTGGAGTAGTCGACCAGCGGCAATTTGTCGGCAGTGGCTGGGAGCCTAGACGGGACCGGAGAACCGGCCATTGCGGGCAGGATCGACGAGCTTGTTTTTTTATTTTTTTTGGCTGATTCGTTATATTCATGATTAAATGCATCTCTCGAAGATCGCACCTTATTATAACGTCAACGATCGCTGCTTACCGTCCGTTATGGCTTACAAACAAACAATAATTTCGACTGACTTAATCCATTTGGTTTGATTCGATCATGGCTTATCCAACTATGACGTCCTCCTGAATCCTCGATCGGCATGACTGACACCAGGTATCTGGGTCTTAGCGCATGAGTGTGGTCACTCAATCAACAACGCCGTCGGCTGGGTCTTGCACTCTGCCCTCTTGGTACCCTTCCACTCCTGGCGAATCACACATGCCCAACACCATGCCGCAACCTGCCACATGAAGCGAGATCAGGCCAGCTTGGTCTTCCCCCACTAGCAGAAGGTTGCAGCAAGAAAGAGATCGAAGGGTCTCATCCCCCTAGCTTGTAAGTCAATAGACCTACTTCCTATTCTTGGTTTGGGCGCCGGATATAAATGGCTGATTATCTCTCTCGGTGACGTTTCTTATGATTTTGGCGCTATCTAGTTACGAGAGAGTGGACGATTTACTTGAGGATGCTCCCCTCTGGGCTTTGTACAAGGATTGGTCTAGAAACAAAGGATGGATGCCAAAGGTTGCTCACCCGGAAGAAGGGCGGCATTTGTAAGGGAACATGTGATGAAGTTCTCGTTGGCTATGGAGATGGATGAGCTTCGGCCTACATCACCCAAGTCAATCTCTCACTTGATACAGCTTGATACTTTCTCTATTCCTCTGTCTTCAAGCTTTCTACATGTACATAGAATACCTCAAAAGGAAAAAACACCAAACTGTTAAAGGCGATGAACAAAAACAAAAAACGGCCTGGTGGCCTAGAAGACCCAACCGAGAGTGACTTGTGAGCTTCCGCAAGTGGAATGACCGAAAACGAGTGCAAAGCCAGGGAGGTGTGGTCGTTGCAGCAGGCTCGATCGACCTGTTTTTTCGGCTCCAGGTGGTGACAGATCGGTCGGCAACTTGTCGCTGGTTTGCCGTCAAAAAGTGGTCAAATGGACCTGTCCGGTTTTGATCGTGGGCTCGCATTTGACGGCAAAATGGCGACATGGGCGGTGTAGCAGGGCTACAGGGAAAACAGGCCGGATACATCTGTACCGGCCTGTCACCCACGTGAGTCTCCTAGCTGACGCAAGGAGGCGCACGCTGTCTCCGTGCCGAGGGAAGCTATAGAACCGGAGTTACGGCTCCTTGCTTCCCTCGTCATCTTTAGCCGCAGGGGCTTGCCCTGTACTAGATTAGTACAGGCCTTCGCCCACGTGGCTGTTTCTTTTGTTGTTTCGCTTTGTTGTTAGTTGTTGTCGAGGCCTATATAAAAGGCCTCTCTTGTAGGGGTTCTCCCCAGTTCCTTTCCTTTTCTCATCGGAATCCAGAGGACCTCCTCCTATTCCTTGTCATCTTCAGCGCGTCTCCGCGCCTAGTTCTCCTTAGTCTGAAGGAGCCCCGCTTCAGCGGGGGGACGGATGTATTGCCAGCGGTTTTCCTGAGCCCGCGTTGGCGGGGGTGCTGTCAATTTGGTGGTCAATTTGCCGGCTGACCGGAGGCCCGTTTTTTGCCGGTCAAAGCTGGCTGAGCGGGGTCCGTCAAATTGACGGCCGAATTTTCAGCGATTTGCCGGCCGCCTGCAACTGCCGTGTAGTTGATCACACTCAGATTGGCACTCCTAAAACGTTATAAAGAACATTTATAGTTATCTAAGATAATACGAATCATAATCACAAAATCACCAAAAAAAAAACTAAAGGAAAAAAGAACAAAGATTTAACGACTTGTTGCAAACAACTTAAAAGCTTGGACAAGATTATCAGTAACTCCCAAACGCAGATCATGCCAAGCATCCAACCAGATCTTATTCAAGTCATTACAAGCAACATAATCGTTAGTATCTTGTGAGATCGCAGGAAGAATATGAGAGATTAAAAGTTCAAGAGCAGCTGTGAAAATCTTTGAATTATCTTCGATTAAACCAAGAAGATTCAACTCATCCGGGGGTCTGTATGGATCAATGATCCCCTTGAACTGATGAAGAATACCATCGAGGTAACGGGCCATCTTCGTAGGTAAATTATGTAAAATTGAGAGTGATCGAGAAGGCAAATGAGTAAAGATCGGCAAAAACTCCTGATTGATTGATATTTTTTTCGACACTTTGATCAAGAGCAGTCTACATAACCGGACCATGGGAATAATCGCCTGAACCATTGGGATGAACGGTTCAATTCTAGACACTTCGGATTCTGTTCCGCAATGATATCGGGCAATCAGTTGCCAGTAGTCCTCGAGGATTTTTTCGAGAATAGGTATGGCGATAGGCCAATGAACTTGGATCAGATAGAACTCAGGGCCTCTCATACATTGGATAGTAGACTCGATCGAATTAGAAGACTGAGCAAGATCGGTAGTAAGGCGTCTTCGGATGTAGTCGTCAGGCGAGTCAGAGCGTCGTGAGGGTGGGATACAATCCGTTAAATAAAACCGTTGGGCCGTGTCAAAAGCTGAGTGGAGTTGCCTTGATAATAATTTATTGAGCGTCTTGTCTAGAATCGAAATTCTGTAGTGTTTGAATTCGTTGAGGTAGTTGTCGTGGTTTGGATCTGAGCCAGGATCGGGAAGACAGATCTTGTGCTTAGCGGCTATGATTTTCTCCAGAACGCGATCGAAGTCCACTTGGATCTCTAAGACGGACTGGAATATCGCGCCGAAGTCATCGCGTACATGACAGAGTTCACACAGGGCTCCCAGCTTGAGGATATGCTCTTGGAGTTGGGGGAGTAGGGTGGAATGAAGATGATCGAATAGATATTCCTTCAATCTGAACGGATCGATTGATATCCCTATGATAGGCGGTGGTTCATCCGAGGGCGCCGGAAATTGAGAAGCCTCGCATCTTCTCATAAGCTGAGCAAAGTGTTCCCTGACTAGGTCTAAAGAGGACCAGCAGGATGCAAATAAACATACAAATAATGTAAGAGTCTGATAAAATTTGTTCCGATCTTTCAGGGTATAATTTTTTTTTTTTTTGGTTGAGCAGATGAAAGAGCACACTTTTTGATTCTGGCCAGAGCTCCCGCGGTCCTCCCGACAGTGATAGGCTGGATATCTCCGGCGTCCACCCAGATGGATCAAGTGACGGAAACGAGCTGGAGAGCTCTCTTGCCCTTTCTAGCCAGCGCCTCGGCCCTCCTCTTATTGCTAATAGCCTGTTGCCCATCTCCGGCGCTTCCCAAGGTGGATCAGCAGCTGTCTGAGGCGCGTTGTCTATTCCTTCTGATGGATCAGGTGCGTCAGATATATATCTGTGAGCGTGGTTCTACAGAGGAGAATTATGTGCAAGGTGATGTGACAGAAATTTTGAAAACTACGAACCTATCGACCCTTCCCTGCTGGAAATCGATGCCTCTTGCTGGTCATCGTGCTCCATGTTTACGAGATACTCAACAATCGATCACAAAGCTGTGAGTATTATGGTTATTCTCTGTTTGATGAGGGCAACTTCTCAAAATGAAGCTTGGTCCAAATGGTTGTGTTCGGCAGTTGAGATGGGCGAGTCAGTCGACGTACTTGAAGATGATTTCGCTTTATGAACAACCGGGAAAAACCTGCCGGATAGCTGTCCTTGGATGATCGACTAGTAGTTGTTTATTTTTTGGCCTAGCTTCAATTCTCGGAATCAAACTTCCCTCGGATTGCATCCGGGTGACTCATGAGACGAGCTAAACAAGAGTGATTTGTGGTTGGTATGTCTCCTAACTCAATTCTTCCACAGGAGTTCACTGGATGATGATCTAAGAGATCTAGTCGCCAGCCTCTTTAAGGCCCTCTGGTAGTGGTACATTGAGTGGATTCTGGGCAATGTTGTAAAAATGACCATCTTATGGCTCCATCCAAAATAAGCGGGTACCAGCTGTGTCGGCTTGGCGGCAAGCGGGCCTGGCAAGAACCATTTAGCAGCTCGTTCGCCGAACCGGAACAAGCTGAGGGTACCTCGGGGCCGGACCGATAGACACAGGTTGTACCAGCTCGCAAGCCGGCACCTGCTGGACCAGTTCCGCGAGAAGTAATCCTCCTGGCTGAACTGGTATAGATAATCTGATGCCTGTTCGGCGAGCAGGAATCGTCATTGCCGAGCCGGTGCAAGCTGTGCCAGCCGGCGGCGGTGAGGCCAGGAACTGGGGCAACGACCCCTGCCAGTGCTAACTGAACTAATTCCCTCCCCTCTCCAATAGAGGGACTTTGTTAAGTTAGCTGCCAGTGCCACCTCAAATTCGGTTGGCCTCCAGTGGCAGATGTCACATAAGCATGGGGGTCGCTCCTCCAATGCATGAAGTTGGGGGTCGTTTCAATATCCTCTCAATCATTGAGAGGGTGTATTAGAACGACCCTCAAGCGAAAATTTAATTTTCTCTCCCCTTCATTCATTCTTGCCTTTTTTCCTGGTCCTTGATGTACATACATATGTTATGTAGCATCTTGAAGAAACAAAATCAAATGAGCAAGCCCAAGAGAGCTCCACGAGCAGTTGCAATTTGAATTTGGGAGGAGGATTGGGTGAGCTTGTGGATGAACTTCATGAATTATTGCGTCCAATGAGAATGATCCAGAATGATCCTCTTCCAGACTTCCAGTGCCACTTTCGCCAAGTCCCACGCCACGGGGAGTCCCTTGAGACCCCCGGGTGAGCGGACAGCCTCGGTGAGCCGACATCATTGTGACACTGCCCTGACAGCTTCCCCCGGGGCATCCACTGACACCACCACCACCAACTTTTTCGAGGATCGAGCTTGTTGACCAAAACATTCTCACCAGAACTGCAACAGTCGACCAAAAAAATAAAAAAAATAAAAACCAAACCAACAACCAAAATATCATCAGAAACGAAGCAACGATGGATGAAGACTTCGAGAAACTAGAGAGACTCTCACTGGTCAACAGCATCACCAAGGAACTTCACAATCATGTCGGACTCCAGGATAGCACCCTAGCAGAGTATCTAATCTCCCTGCACGAAGAATCGGCCTCATTTGAGAATTTCAAAGCAAAACTACAAGAGATCGGTGCCGAGTTCCCCGAAAGCTTCGTCACTAATATGGATCGACTCGTTACCAGTCTACATCCCAAGTACAAGAAGAAGAAACTCGCAGCTGAAGGCAAGGGGAAAGAGAAGGAGGCCGATCCGGCGGGAGACGAGGAAGAACTCGAACGGAAAAAGAGACGAGCTCAGGCACTATTCCCCGCCCTGGCACTTCCTGATCGCTCCTGGGAACCCAGTTTTGTCCCCGATACAAACGACCCAACTGGGAAGAACGCTGCGAGTGCGGATAATTTACTCGAAGAGCTGGAAAATGTCGCGAGAAGGCATCGGGAACTGCAAGCGGTTCGCGAAGAAGATGAAGTGGAAGAAAATGACTCTGATTACAATCGTCCTTCGAAGGCACCCAGACGAGACCGATCAGCAAGTCGTGAAAGAGGGAGACGCTCCCCGGAGCCTAGATCCGGACGTCTCAGAGATGATCACTCTGGCGGCCGTTTTAATGACCGAGGTCGACAACGCGACAATGGCTATAATAATAGAGCCGCTAAAGCACTGGACACTCGCCCAGTTCTCTACAAAATTTACGACGGAACCGTGGCCTCGATCAAAGACTTCGGATGCTTTGTCACTTTGAAAGGCGTCTCTGGAAAAGCCGAAGGATTGGTTCACGTTAACGCTATTGCAGCCGGCAGAGTCAATCATCCCTCCGATCTGGTGTCCAGAGGACAACCCGTCAAAGTCAAAGTGGTTTCGATTGCAGGCGAGCGGATAGGAATCTCAATGAAAGACGTCGATCAAAACACTGGAGCAGATCTGACACCCCACCTACGAATCAAGACCGATGCTGAAATGGCTGAAGAAGAAGCTCAATATGCCGCTCGTCACGTCAACCATAGCACGGGTGCTGGTTTTGCAGACGACAACCGTTCTTCCAGTGCTCGTCGTCTGACCTCACCCGAACGATGGGAGATTAAACAACTGATTGCTTCAGGAGCGGCCAGCGCTGCCGATTATCCCAACCTCGATGACGATCTAACCACTCCAGGTAGCACCAACGGGATGGCGGCAGCGGCGACGGCAGAGGAGGAACTCGATATCGAGATGAGAGAGGACGAGGCCCCGTTTCTTAAAGGTGCTCATCGCAGGGTCCTCGACTTAAGTCCTGTTAAGATCGTCAAAGCTCCCGATGGCACACTCAATAGAGCTGCCTTGGCTGGTGCCGGTTTAGCTAAAGAACGACGTGAACTACGTCAACAAGAAGCAAACGAGCGAGCGGATGCAGAAACTCAAGATACTAGCACGGCTTGGCTCGATCCAGTGGCCAAACCGCATGAGCGACTTTTCGCCCAAGATGCCAGGGACAATACGATGGGGAAGAAACAGGAAGAGTCTGGTTGGAAGCAAGCTACATTCAATCAAGCCACAACATATGGTAAAATCACTTCTCTCAGTATTACGGAACAGCGGGCCAGTTTACCCATCTACAAACTACGAGACGCACTGGTGAAGGCCGTCAAAGAAAACCAAATTCTCGTGGTCGTTGGAGATACTGGATCGGGCAAGACCACTCAAATGACCCAATATTTGGCGGAAGAGGGCTTGGCAGACGAGAAGAAAATTGCCTGTACTCAACCTCGTCGAGTCGCCGCCATGTCGGTGGCTAAGAGAGTAGCTGAAGAGGTGGGCTGTCGGTTGGGTCAAGACGTCGGTTATACCATTCGATTCGAAGATTGCACAAGTCCAGAAACGAAAATCAAGTACATGACAGATGGAATGCTTCAAAGAGAAGCTCTCGTTGATCCTAACCTATCAGCGTATTCTGTCATCATGTTGGATGAGGCGCACGAAAGGACGATTGCCACAGATGTGCTGTTTGGCCTCCTAAAAAGTAGGTCCCAATCTTATTCGATTGTAGATAGTCTTCAATCGATCTTCAGCTGATTACGATCATCTTCATTAGAATCCATCATGCGTCGACCCGATCTCAAATTGATCGTTACTTCAGCTACACTGGACGCCGAGAAATTCTCGAAATACTTCTACTCCTGTCCGATTTTCACTATCCCTGGCAGGACTTATCCGGTCGAAATCCTGTACACCAAAGAACCTGAAAGTGACTATCTTGATGCCGCACTAATCACGATCATGCAAATCCATATCTCTGAGCCACCGGGAGATATACTTCTGTTCTTGACTGGACAGGAGGAGATCGATACGTCGGCTGAGATATTATACGAGCGGATGAAAGCTTTAGGATCGCATGTACCAGAGTTGATTGTCTTACCGGTTTACTCGGCTCTGCCTTCGGAGATGCAATCCAAGATTTTTGATCCGGCCCCTCCTGGAGCGCGAAAAGTGATCCTCGCCACGAACATTGCCGAAACCTCGATTACAATTGATGGGATTTACTATGTCGTCGATCCTGGGTTCGTTAAACAAAAGGCGTGGGACCCTCGACTGGGAATGGACTCTTTGGTCGTCACTCCGATCTCACAAGCTCAAGCCAGACAACGCTCTGGTCGTGCTGGTAGGACGGGACCGGGAAAATGCTACCGACTCTATACTGAAGCCGCATATCGAAACGAAATGCTACCGACCTCGATCCCCGATATTCAGCGTCAAAACTTGGCTCACACTATCTTGATGTTGAAAGCTATGGGAATTAATGATCTGTTAAACTTCGATTTTATGGACCCTCCTCCCCAACAAACTATGATCACCGCATTGGAAAATCTTTATGCTCTCTCTGCTTTGGATGATGAAGGTTTGTTGACGCGTTTGGGTCGGAAGATGGCTGATTGTAAGCTCGCGTTTAATTTCCTAGATTCATTTTTTTTCTTTCAAGTAGCTCTTCTTTAACATTCACTGACTACCACACAAAAAAAAAACACAGTTCCGATGGACCCCGAATTGTCGAAGATGTTGATTGCATCGGTTGACTTGGGTTGCTCAGAGGAAGTCTTGACGATCGTGGCTATGATCAGTGGTGCGACAAATGTATTTTATCGACCGAAGGATAAACAAGCACAAGCAGACGCCAAGAAGGCCAAATTCCATCAACCAGAAGGTGATCATCTCACACTTCTGGCGGTTTATGAAGGCTGGAAGAATAGCAAATTCAGTAATCCTTGGTGTCACGAAAATTGTAAGTTGACCACTACAGATTATAGGTTGCGTTACAAATGTCTTCCTCACAAAGCCATCGGATTACTGATGATTTTCGTGTCTAACGGTAGACATTCAATCGCGTGCAATGAGAAGAGCCCAAGATGTCCGGAAACAATTGTTAGGGATTATGGATCGATATAAACATGATATTGTGTCATGTGGGACGAATTACGACCGGGTCCGTCGAGCGATTTGTTCGGGTTATTTCAGACATGCGGCTAAGAAGGATCCGCAGGAGGGATACAAGACTTTAGTCGAAGGCACTCCGGTCTTCATCCATCCATCTTCAGCGCTCTTCAATCGTGCCCCAGAATGGTCAGTCGATCTTCCCCGATCTTTGAAAATGATCATTCTCATTCACTTTATCATCTGGATCCTGACTTGTGAAAAAAAAAAATCGATTGTTGTTGGTGTGGGCAGGATCATCTATCATGAATTGGTCTTGACTACCAAGGAATATTGTCGCGATGTGACGGCTATCGAACCCAAATGGCTCACCGAAGTGGCGCCTACTTTCTTCAAAGTTGCGGATGCTAAAACGATGTCTAAACGAAAACGAAACGAGAGAGTCCAACCTCTGTTCGACAGATTTGCCAAGGTCATTCTCTCCTTCCCTTTTCCTTTCCTTTCCGGATCTCTTTACTCTCACTCACATCACATGGTTTGCTGAAATCATTGTTGTCGATTTTTTTCTTTTTTTGCAGAGCGAAAACGATTGGCGGATCTCCAAAGTCAAACGGAGCACTCGGACAAGTCAAACCTTTGGTTGATCTGCTCTTTTCTTACCTGGTTACACACACCATTTCTCATTGCAACAAAAGAAAACGAACAAATCATCGTCAACTGGTCATGTATAGATATACATGTGCATACTTATGTATCTATACTCTTATTGGTTTCGGATGTAGAGATACACAAATATGCTTTCAAATCACTCTGAACCAAAGTCATAGCCGATCCTTTTTGAAACTAACAAAGAAAATCGATTCTTTATATCTCAATCTGTAAAATAACACTTGCTCATCCATCCTTACTACATAATCATTTATACATTATCAATTCTTTCCCATCTTTCTTTAGAAACCATTTTTTTTTTTTTTCATTCTCTCTCTCTCTCTTGTTTCTTTCAATGAAGTCTTACTTGAAAAATATCGTGTCTTTTTTTTTCAAGGGGTTGATAATATACTGATTTTCTCTCATGTATGTTGGGTTGGGAGGTAATGTAACCATTTACACGGCCTCCCGCATCTCTTTGATCCTTGCCCGATCCCCTAATTACAACATGTCAACCTCCAAAGGAAATAACAGGATGGCCATAATTGTAGACCTAGTTGTACGTTTTCCCTGCCATAATCGGTCCAAAGCCCAAAAGCCGCACATACCCTTGCTGCCCTCACTGTTTGTTTTAGCGGACCAACCTTTTCACGTCAAGTTGGAGTGGAATTGACTTGATGTCAAGCGGCCATACCTTGGAGTTGGTTAAGGTTGGATGCATTTATGTGCGTTTTAGCTCCAATGCTCTAAAAGTGCTCTTATGATAGCTCAGAAGTGCAAGCTACAAGATACATACTCTATTTACACTTGATGTAAGCAACACAACATGGAACTCTCTAGAACAGAACACGGGACCCAAAGAAGCAAAATGCACCAGTAGGATGATAGCACCATCACCGAACTCAGCGAGCTCCAAGCAGGCAGCGGCAGTGGAGCAGTAACAGACAGAAGGTCTCCCCTCCCCTAACTTAACACAAGTCCCCCTGGTGGGAGGATCGCTGTGTAACACTGGCCGCTGGGCGCTTCGGGGGCACCGAAGCGCCCAGCGCTATGTAGTGTGGAAAATCCTTCGGACGCGGGCCCCGGCCCCCGAGTTCGAGGGGCTTTGTTAAGCTAGGCCCCCAAGTTCCAATTTCAAATTCCGACCACTTTGAAGAGAATACTTGTTGGAATCCAGTTTAGAGAAAAATCTTCCGTTACTCATCTTTCCCTTTACTTGAGTGAGACATCAAACAAAGAGGTATAATCCATTCAAAGGCTCCTGGTGCTACTCGAACCTGGTGTTAGTATCTTAACGAACTGCTTTGTTTCATTCCTTTGGTTTGAGTATCACAGATTCCAGTCCCCCTGCGCAATCACAGCCGTGAATCACTTGGAAGGTTACCGTAAGTTGAAAAAAGAGTCTATCATTAATTCAAGGAATCCACGTTTCCTGTCTTTCCTCTGCGAAATAGTTTTTTCTATTGTTCACTGACATCAGCCATCGATCCCCCCTCTGTTTCTTAAAAACAGAAGGCCACGGTCACAAATCAGCCTTTCCTAGCGATTAATTCATAGCCATAGGACAATAAAGTAAATCAACGTAAATGAAAATTACAAACTGCAATGATTATAATTCAGTTCCACATCACCATCTCTATCTCTCCATTGCCTATTTTCTTATTCCTGTCATTTAATGTGCCCAACTAGCCTAGCCAATACTCCCGAGTTTCCAATCAATTTTCCAGGCAAGTGCCACCTGTAGTTCATCAACATAAGCAATCGTCATCTGCAATTCCAGGAGTCGAGAGGTATGGATTTTCCAAGATATTTCTTGAATTTTTCTATGTCCAGTTTGATATGATGCTATTTAGTCTGGTTCTAAATTTATCATCGTTCTTGTCTAAAGTCGTTGCAAGGGTACCATTTGCTTGTGAATCTTTAGAAGGCAACCAGACATGTCTAATCCGACCAATCCATCAGAAGAGATAGACGAGATGCCCAACACAGCCGATCAATCAGAGGAAATGTCGGACGAATCCGATCTATCAGAAGAGACAGACGACATATCCGACACGACCGATCGATCAGTGTCGGGCCAATCGGATCTATCAGAGGGAACACGGCAAACTTGGCAGCAGGGAGGTGTGCTCTATGATCCTGCAATAAAAGAAAACACCGAAACCAGCTGACTTGGTATACACTCTGTCACTATTAGGTGTAGTCTACAGACAATTTTCCGGCCTTATGGATAAATGTCGAGCTGAGCCGATGTCGATTCAGGAATCAGCCTCAATCGATCGAGTCGAATCGAAGAAAGACTTTCTCAATCAGCTTCATTCAACCTTACTGCCTCTACTACAACAGCATATCGTCAAACTTGCATCCGAATTTAAGCTAGATATGCTGTGGGGAGACCGCGATGCAAAATTCAAAACTCTCTTGGAGAATCAATCCGAATTGAATCACATTTTGGATCAAATCAACTACGCCAAATATTCAATCTGTCCAGCAAAATCTGAACCAGACGCATCTACTTGTGACCAGAACCTGAAAGAATTCAAAACCTATAGAATTTCCATCCTAAGAGAAAAGTTAAATTCGTTATTATCACAACTTGAACTCACTTTTCAGTTCTGCCGATACCTTCTTGAAGAGTTACCGACATCAGAGTACTCCATGTATTGCTCCGACGTGTTCTTCCTCAAAAGATGTTTTGCTTCAGGAACAAGTGAATGCTGCAACACGATCGATTCAACGATTCGATGGATGAATAGATCAGACTTCTATCTCATTCGAGATCAATGGCCTGATTGGATATATACTATTAATGAAAAATTCGATGAATTCATGAAACTTTCTGGTTCTGACTTGATAAGCCCTAATCAAAAACTTCGACATAAACTACTCAAACTTGCTAAATTAGCAATACCAGTCATCAAATTATGCCGAATCTTTTTCAGCAAACTATCAAAACAAGTACTCAGCATGACCTGGCTTCCGCTTTTTACTGAACTTTCCTCCCAGCAAATCAAAACTTTACGCATTTTACCTGGCTACATTAACAGTCATCTGAAGAACTTTCTTCTTGGATTGAAACAAACTACCAATAACAATAGGGCTACCAGTGCTAGTTCTCTCCTCATGTCAGCCCAAGAGCATTCAAAAGATTTTCAAATTTCTGTTGATCTCATAACTTCTCATATTGTTCCAATACTCCCAAGAACAGATGATTTTCCTTCTCAAGATTACTTCAGAAATTGGCTGGGTACTTGGAATACTGAGCATCTTGTAGCTACTGAAAATTTGGTTCAAGCTGTTAAGTTGATTGGAAGGATTGAGTAAAAAGATTTTTTTTCCATTTACTCCAATGTTAATCTCTTTGGTGATCTGGTAAAATTATTTTTATGAAAGGGTCAAGTGTATAGAGACAGGGAGTTTTTACAAAATTGCAGAGTGAGTTTCAGTTCAAGTGCAATCCGCCTTGTTAGTTATTTATAGATACAACTTACAAGGACCCCGGAAACCTCCTTTAATTGTGAGTGACACAAACCTGGTAATTTCAACTAAATTCATATATTGGGGGGCACCAGGAATGAAATATTTGAGCCCATTCATACCCATTTTGTATGCATGCTTGGGCTAAAATCCCCCAGAAAGTGAGGAAACCCTCCAGAAGATGCGGTGACCAGGCCATTTTGGGGGGTTTCCCCTCATGTTTACCGGATATTCATCCATTTAAATCCTGTCAGGTGTGTAATCTCTCAGACAACCAAACTGATTCATACCACTTTTGTGTGGATGATTTTTTTTTTTTTTTTTTTTTTTTGAAAAAGCCATACATGTAGGTCACCACAATAGTTCAGGGGTTTCCCAGGGCCTTAGATATGTGATGAGAAATCATTGCAGGTCTTCTTGTCTACATCTGGGAAATGGTGAAGATTATACAATAGCGGGGTTCATGATTGGCATTTCCTATAGAGCCATATATCCCAAACAAGCTGCCACAGCCACATGGCCTGCTGCAAGGCTTTCAAAAGGTAAAAAAAACACTTGCTGAAAGCAACATCCAACCACAGAGCTGTAAACAAACATGATTTGTTTTAGCAAAACAAGCATTCAAAAGCTCAATCATGAACCCCACTAACACATGGACAGTAGTCGCTAAAATGGTATATTTTATCACCTAATTCAAAAAATGGGGGTTCCCAGCATATCTATTACATTGGGGAGTGCACTGTCATTACACAGCCATGTATTGTATTACCTGCTCCAATACACAATTTTCCAAATTCATATATTTTATTGGCACATCAAGTGGGAGCAACTCCCAAACTAACTGCTTCAGGAATGGTTTGAGAAGCTGCCTCCCATAATTACAAAATATGAATTGAATTGCCAACTCCCTAACATGGCCATCCATTTGGTCCTGAAGCAGCAAATCCCAACAGAAATCTGTCAACAGTTTTTGGGAGTTGTTAACAAATCCTTGGGAGTCTTATGACTACCTGCTTAAAAAACAGTAAGAAAACACACCAAGACTGGGAAAGAGGCCCCATTCCACACAAAAAATAATTGGAGATGAAAAATTTGGAACCCAAATTGAAGAAAGTTTTTCAATAATTTGGAACATGAGTGGCACTGGAGGAATTCTGTCAAATCTGAGACCTTTGCAGAGGTCAATCTAGACCCAAACGTCTAGCCATTTGTGAGAAATATATCTCCTGAGGAGAAATACAGGTTTTTAGGCTCTAAATTTCTTCTGGGAGAATTTTGACTTTTCACATGCAGTCATCTATGATAGTCTGTAAAATATGGATTCAAAAAAACCTGTTTCATATTGCCAGCCCAATCAAATACCAATACACAATTTTGTCTAACAAAAACAGTCTGTTACACAATCAAAACCAATATGTGCATGGCATCAGCTATATGTGTTTTGCTTGAGGCAATGGTGCAACTGATACAAGACATGTATTTGTATTGGATTGTATCCTCTTTATTTTGAGCCTGATACCAGTATCAGTATTTTTTGGTTGGTGAAAAAGTTTGTTGTCTCGGATTTGGATTTACAAATGAAAAAAATGGTCTTTGTTTTTTTTTTTCTTTTTTCTTCAATACGGCCAAATATCTTGTGTATCAAATACGGTTTTGGTGGGATCAGTCATCTGAGACAATACATAATACTTGTCTCACTTTTCAAATACAATACATGTGTATTGTCTCAGGAAAGTGAGACAACACAAATCCGGTATTTTTGGGTATTCACATCCTGAGACAATACAAATAAACACCTGATACTGTCTTGTATTGTCTCTGTTGCACCATTGCTTGAGGCTATAAAGAAACTCAAACCAACTATCTATCACATTCACTAGAAACACAAATTGCCTTAAAGTTAGAGGTAGGTTTTTTATCTCGAATTATGTACTGGAACAGTATTTTTCAAGCCTGCAACAATCTAGATTCACTCAATTTTGAAATCAATACTCCATTGCTACTAGTACTGTCACTTTCCCCTCAATGAATCATGTTATTTATGTATGTGACTAGAAGTCTCATTCCAAGTATTCTGTAAATACATTTTCTGAAAATTTACTGGATTCAAATTCTTAAGTCAGCTATGTTGGTGGTACCTCACCAGTCATTACTTGTTGAGCTAATGCAGCTGGATTTTGATCTCTCTCATAGTAGTGATTTATTTTATTGAACAAGACAATTCTCTTAGCTCAAAATAACCCTATAACAACCTCAAAAAGGATGAGGATCTCACTGCAGAAATTCCCATTGAGGATTTCTGTATGCATATTGAGCTTTACTCACTTTCTACTTTTCATAAAAGCATCTATGATAAGTGATTCTAAAAGTAAGAGCTGGATGAATCATATTTGATGTTTTTGGGATTGTCTTAGCATGCAGAACTCACCTTCATTCACTCCTTTACTATATACAGCAATTTCCTCAGAGGCATTAACCACACATGAGATCAATGCAAAATTAGTTCCAGATCAAGCCTTTGTGGAAAGTTCCCCAATAGACCATGGAAAAAAAGAGCCATCTTATCAACATGGGCTTCAAAAAAATGAAATGGAATCCTCAGAGAAAAAAGGTGAAGCTTGCAATTATTTTGTGTTTCTTCTTTCTACACCGGCTAGTCACTCATTCTTGTATTTTTATAGCAGAAAAGATTAAAAAAATGGAATTAGAATGGTTGAAGATCCACACAAAGTTCAACTTTTTACTAACAGGCCCTACCTCTGCTCAAGAAAATATAAAAATCGTCAATGAATTACTAAGAATTTATTTTAAACTACAGAGGAAAAGCTTTGGTATTTTTGATACCATTTCACAAAGCCTTTACAACTGTGTACACCAGTCAAGAACATGGAATCTAAGAACCTGGAATCATGACAGAAACCTAAAGATGAATCCAGATACATGGACGAATTTAAAAAATGTTATATGCAAAGGAATTTTGGATAATACTGATGAGAAGGACAAGTTGAATTTGAAGTATCTGAATCTTTTGCTTCTGTTGAACAATTACATGGTTGAGTATCACTCAGAGCCCTCGGCTCTCATTGGCTTTACCACTCTTGAGCCAAAGATACTCACCCAGGTTGTTGAGTGGGAACTTGACCATCAGGGAAATTGGTTCAGACTGGATTTTCCTATTCCTTCTGCTGTGATCCCAACACTGGAATGTCTGTCCAACTACAAGGGGATGAAACAGTTTAACAAGTCCATCAAAGGTATGTCTTTTTACATCAATCAAGGATCTGGTCTAATTATCATGGCTTCTGGTTCACATTTAATGACTTACTTAAACTTTTAATCCCTTACAGAGCTTTCTCATTCAGACAAAAAGCCTGTTGTATATGCTTCATTGAAAAGTTTTCACAAGAGTGTCATAATGAACAGTGACCCAAAGAAGCATACTCAAGAATTTATCAAAATTGTTGATCCATTTTTTGCAAATGACTTTCTTTACAAGGCAGATGCACTCAGTGAATCTAGCTTCAAGCTCTTTGAATGTCTCCATTCACCACCCAACAACTGGACTTACATGCATCAGAAACTTCAAAAGAAATTGTCAGCCAATCTTAGCAGCCATCAAGTGATCCAAACCATCCAAAATGCATACAGATTTTTTCAGAACCCCTCAGATATGTCTGTCAAAGGCCCAATCAATGAATTGATGAGTATGTATTTTGTGGTAGAATTTCTTGAGAGCTTCTATCCAAATCTAGTCAAAGTGATCATTCCAGTCAAAATACATGATAGGGAACTGATCAAAGATCAATTGGAATTCATGAAAGAAGCCTTCAATATCTTTGAGAATGAAGAATACTTTACAACAAAGAAGCCCAAGTTTGAAAAATTAATCCTAAGCTCAATTTTGAAAGGACTCAAAATGGAAAAATGGGTGGAAAAGGCCTCAGTAGCAATCACCGGAACATATGTTAGATACTGGATTGATAGTTTCAGAACAAGAAGAAACATTGCAAAGCTGACTACTTCTCATGATATTGAAATGTTACTTTTGCATCTGTTTTTAGAGTAGACATGTTACTCTCTTCAAATAGGTAATCATTTTCTTTGTTATACATCTCCTTCCTTCTGGTCTTTGGTCTTGAGATGTTCAACAATCAAGAATGAATATCAAAAATTGGAAAACACACTTGTTTATGATCATTGTTTCATTTTCTGCTTCATCCTTTTTTTTTCTTTTTTGTTCTGGAAAAGAAAAAAATCAAATATTTTGAGAATTTGTTTCAGGATTTTGAGATGCTTCTTTTTCCATCAATCTGATAGCTGTCAAATACATCAGTTGGCCAAAATCTACCCAATTCCAGTGACCTCTTTTGTACGGTTTCTGCTATCATGTCACTCTCTCAAAAAATCTGTTGGAATTTCACTAGTCGACCTTTCTCTCTCTGTCTCTTTCTTTCTCAAACATGTCACTCCTTTTTATCTTGTGTCACTCGTTTTATACTTCAAATTTTTTTGATTGTTTTCTACATTCATTATGCATCATTGTTAGATCCCAAAACTTGTGCACCTTGTATCTAGACTACTAACATTCACTAGATACTGAGAAATTGAAACCATCAGTTCAGCTTATTATTTATCCTGAGGAGACACATTAGCCTCTCCTCAGCCTTGATTAAAACCAAGTGCACATTAGCCCACTTATTCAAGTCATACAAGTATATCAGACATTGTCTGCTTCTTTGGCATTGTCAACTTCCCCTCTTCACCAACTCTTATTTCAACAACATCAAGAAACAATTTTTTTTTCTTTCTATTTTTGATCCAACATGAAAACTATGTCCCTGCGCAACTTGATCATATGATGGACACAGTCTATTGAAGCTCCTGCATTGACCGAGTAAGAAAAAAAATTAATTTTCTTAAACCCAGCTGTCTCAGTCTTACTGCCAGTGCAATCAAGCCATTTTTATCAATAAGATCCAGCACCATAGAATTTGTCTACTAGTACTATCTAGATTGCTGACATCTTTCCCACTCTGTATCAATCCAGATTTTCTTCACTACATATCCCTTTTTTTGAATGTTTAGAATATTTCTGAGCTTTTAAATTGGATTACAGCTATTCTGGGAAAGGCTGTATGTACAAGTTAGAGATGGGCGGGTGTCAACAGGCAAGAGTGTAACACCTGTATTAACACTCTTAACCGTGACAAGTAATATAAAATATTAACTAAGAAACAATAAGCATAATACATAAGTATAAGTATGCAGAGTTAGAAGTGTAACTATATAATAAATAAAAGATAGAAATTGATGAGATCACAACATTAAGCACAAACAGAAGATTGATGAGATCATAAACAGATAAACAAATAAGTGGAGGTTTGCATAAGGCAAACATAAAAACTAAAATTGAGCTGAGTAAGCATGCTCTTAAAGTAAGTAGGCTACCTCGGTCCAACATTGCGCTGAGTAAGTATTATCATAAAGCAAGTAGGCTACCTCGGTCCAACTGAGGACTCTTATTTAAACTCGAGCTATGAGCTCATTGTTTAATTATGGGGACAACCCCAAAAAGTGAAGCTAAGAACATTTAAAGACAGGACTAGAGAGAAGAACGCGAGTCTCTCTTCCTTTTTCCCCAGTGTTAAAAAATCCATTACTTATCTTTAGATATACTTAAAAATCTACCGACACCGAAGAGCATTCACTAAAGGAAATCTCCTTCAGAAATACCTCTTGATTAGGGCCTTTTACTGTATCCTAAACAATAAACCTATTAACACCTCTCCTAGTTCATATCTGTACAAGTTCTGGTAACTTGAACTGTTATCTATAGCTTGTTATACCGATCTATCTATTCCCAAACTCAACTACCAGTCTGAGTCTTGGATTGCCCTGGCTTCTTGCTTCAGGAAGCTCGAGTAAGTCTCAAGAGCTTTGACCTGAGCCTTGAAAGAAAAGTATTAACATCTATCTCATTTCATTCTAGTCTACGGTTATAACACTACGGATCTTCCTCTCCGTAAGTAGTATAAACCTGACAGCGGGGATAATCTGTTGCGGATATCCGCCAGGGCCAGCAGATCCCCGCCAGGGGATGCGGATTTGGGTGCGGATGTCCTTTCCCCCCCCCCAAATCCCGGCGGATATCCGGGTATCCCCTGGGATACCCGAGACCAATGGCCGGCTGGAAGGGTTTCCTTCCAGTCGACGAGGTACACGTACCTCGCCAGCTGGCGAGGTACATGTACCTTGCCAGCTGGAAGGGAAACCTTCCAGCCAGCGAGGTACATGTACCTCGACGGCTGGAAGGGAAACCTTCCAGCCGGCAAGGTACATGCCTTGCCGGCTGGAAGGCAACCTTTCCAGCCGGCGAGGATGTGCCTCCCTGGCCATTTAGAGGGCGGGTATCCGAGGATATCCGCACGGATACCCGCTAAGGTGGGGGGATATCCGCCAGGGGATGCGGATGCCGCTTTCCCCGGAAAAAGCAATTGGATATCCGCATCCGCGCGGATATCCGGATGCAACACAACCATCTCTAGTACAAGTCCGACCAAAGTGATTTTCCATTTTGTCAAACATCCTGCTCTTTAATAGACATAATTAGCTTTGACAACCTCAACAATGATTCTTGGAGCACCCTGAATTAACCTGGGAGTCCTCCTCAAGGTACATATTTAATTGCTTCCTGATTAGAGATGTCAGCAGGTACCTGTTTGCGGGTACCTGGTACCTGTTTTCCAAAGTGGGTCCGGAAGCAGGTGCAGGTGCGGGTGTGGGTGTCAACATTTGGGGTAAAAAAAGGCAGGTACCCGGGTACCTGCCTTACAACCGCCTTGGGAATGCTTCCCCTGAAGAATTTAAATTATCATTGGTGGTGCAACACTAGAGATCGTTCGTCCGTACTTTTTGCAGGTACCTGGTACCTCCTGGGGGGTACCCCTCGCACCCGCCCCGCACCTGCCAGGAGGTGCCAGGTGCGGTACTTGGTACCTATTTTTGTGAAAAATTGAACAGGTACCTAGGTACCTCTACAGGTACCCCCTCACTTCCCTACCAAAAATCAAAATGATGGTGGCCTTCTACTCCAAGAACTCCAAGATCCAAGAAGGTACCTTGGCTGCATGGAAACAGGGACTCAAGGATAACAAGAAGTCTAACAAAAAATCAAAAAGGAAGGTGATGGTTTTGGATGACAATGAATATTCTTCCAATTAGTTATAATTTGTAGATAGTTTCAACTTTTCAATAAATTATTAAATATGAACAAATGAAAAAAGTGATCTGGGACTGATGTTTTACAATAAATATGAAAAAAATAGAAAAGTAAGATTTTTCCAATTAGATGTAGATATATTACAACAGATATTAAAAAATGCCAAAAAAGTGACTTGTGAGTGATATTTTACAATAAATATGAAAAATAATAATAATAATAAAGTGACTTGGGACTCTGGGAGTGAAACTAGGTGAAAAAGAGAGGGGGGGTACCTGAGGTACCTTCAACGGGTACCTTGGGTACCCCCCGGGAGGTGTCTGGTGCGGTACATGGTATCTATTTTCTTGAAAAAATGAACAGGTACCTAGGTATAAACAGGTACCCAGGTCCGAACGAACGATCTCTATGCAACACTCCCTTTTTTGGGTGTTTTGGGCTGCACAAAGGTGTCAGAAATCCATGTAGGACACTGGCTGGTGTCCTAAATAGGTTGATTTGTTGAGGCTTGAGGGAACCCTCCTGCCTTTGAGACGGTGTACAGTCTTGGCGACTGGAGGAATCCCTCCAGTCATCAAAATAAGGTTCCAAATGGGCCAGGTTTGGGTCAAAAAATGGTGACCAAACCCGCCCCGACAAATTCTTGGGGCAGGGCGGGTTGGGGCAAAAATGATAAAATGTTGACCAAACCCGGCCCAAATACACAGTGCCTTGGGTCGGGTTGGGTCCGGGTCAACCCAGCAAATAATCAGTTAATTGCTTTCAATCAGGTCAGTCGGTCAATCTCAAGCCGACCCGAATACAATCTGTGCTGATCATACTCGCCCCGCCGACCCGTCAGGTTGAATCCGGGTCAGGTCAACTTCCAACCCTAGCCTGCTCAAACCCGCCCCGTGACCCGGCGGGTTGACCCAACCCACTTGGATCCTGACATCAAGATGGTGTACAGTCTTCATCAATGGAAAGTGAATAAGGCAAATGAGGCCAAGCAAAAGGGTAAAGCTAAAGATAGATCAGAGAAGATAAAGTGCAAATTGGTGATAGAATGTTTTTTTTTCTTTATTTCTTTATTTCTAGGGGCTTGGAAAAACGACTCCCAAATTTTAGTTGACGACTCCCGTTTGCCCTTCGACTTCGAGAGGACCGTCCGCGGACCATCACTGGACCAACTCTGGACCAAAAATTTGGTCCGGGGAGTCGTCACACCAATTCAATTTTTCTGGATGGGAGTCGTCTGCCCATTTTGAAATTTGATATTTTATATTTTTTTGGGGGTCGTCGACCCAATACTTGGGAGTCGTTGACCCCAATAATCTTCTTTTTTTCCTTTTTTTTTAGTTTTTCTGGCTGGGAGTCGTCAGCCTAATTTCCCCAGACGGAAAGGGAGTCGATGGCCCAATCGTCCAAACTGACGACTGGGCTTTTTTTGTCTCGCAGGAGTCATCGACAAATGCCTAGGAGTCGGCGGGGAGAAGAAACCTTGTTTCTTCTCCCACGCAGGAGTCGCCGCTCCACACCCATATCCACTCCCCCCACCGACTCCCCACCCAAGCAACCAAACCATGTCCAACCCCACCATCCCCGCTTGCGCCACCAAAGGACGCCGCCCTCGATTGACGCCGCCCAGGTTGCCGCCGCCAAGTTGTCGAAGGACCCTGCCAAAGGTCACTGCCGAGGACACCTCCGACAGGCCACAGCCGCCAAAGGTCACCGCCGACGGGCCAGAGCCGCCGAAAGTCACCGCCGATGGTCACCGCCAACGGGCACCAGCCTGAACAGCCAGTCGGAATCCCCGCAGGAGCCACGGCAGTCGTCGCTGGAGCAACAGGAGTCTTCGCGCCCGGGACGGGAGTCCCCCATGCCGGAGAG